CAAAATCAATAAGAAAATCAATAAAGAAATCAATTAGGAAATCAATAAACAGAGCAAAATAAAATCAACAAAAAAAATCAATTAGGAAATCAATAAATTTGCGCTCAAGTCCTTATTGATTTTGCTCGTCACGAAAAAAATCAATACCAGAACCCATATACCCATATTGATTGTAATCAATATCGGATGCTCAGGGTTATACGCAAAGCGAGAAGTGAGTATGCGGTCACTCGGGATGGTAGCCCGAATGACGTCACTCTCGGCAGCCGTGAGCGGTGTCAAGGCGGAGTGGTCGTAGTGCTCCGTGATCTGCTTGCTCTCGGCCTGCTTGAAGGCTTGATGAAGTTCTGGAGGAATGCAGTGCCAGGGCAGCTCCTTCTCTCGTTGCTTCTCTCTGGACCTTTCAGTGAGGCACTTCTTGAGCATCATTGCAGACTGTGCGCCCTCGCCTGGCCCTTTTCTCCGGACTCGCTTTGGAACAGGAGGAGGTGGAAGGTCGGCTCCTTCTGCTTGCCGTGGAAGTCCTCGGCCGTCTGCGTCAGGTTCGGGAGGAGGCTCCATCTCCACGTCCGTGAAGTCGAACTCGAGATCAACGTCCTCCTCCTCGTCAAGGTCAACGTTCTCGTCCGCATAGTTGTTGGGGTCGTCCTGGTCCACACTCAACAGCTTCTCAAGGTCTGCACGCGCTACCCTGTTGCTGAACGAGTCGTTGATCTCTTCACTAGAGGCCTCACGGAGATGCTCAGCAGCAACCAGCTGGCATCTCCCGCCGAAGCTCACCCAATAGTTCCCACCTTCAACACCTGGGCCCCTCCAGCGGCCGTTCTTGGTCCCCCGTTTCTCGATTCTATAAAAACACACGAACTCGCCCTTGGCATAGCCGCCTCGATGGACTCGTGCTCGTTGAATCAAGGCCCTTCTGAACTTGCTGTCCTGCCGCGTCTGGAAAAACGCCACTCGCGCGGCTGTGCGAAGTGCTACCTCGCGCTGCCGCTGCCGGTCGCTGGACAGTATTTTCAGGAAAAGCTCATCATCGCGGCCACCGTCCAACTTTTCAGGGTATCTCGGCTCTCGTCCGAACACCGCCATGGCCGGACTGAAGCCATGTTTGCGACGTAACTCNNGCTCCACAAGTCGCCGCCACGGCCAACTCCAGATCAGCACCCGTCACCGAATGCTCATCCACAACTTTCTGCAACATCTCTTGAAACCACCGCCCGTGTCTCTCTATTGTTCCCACCTGCCAGTGGGCTTGCCCTGCAGCGGCTCGTAAGTGCGAGCCGCAGAACTCGGCATATCTGCTGAGGCCGGCCTGGAGTCCTGTTTCCAAGTCCGCAAAGATAGTCTTGGGAGGGCCGAAAGTCCGACCCCAAAGATCGACAAACCCGGCCTCGAAGTCTGCGCTGCTGTGTCCCGGGATTTTCTTAACCAGGTGGTAGGTGGTGGAATGGTCTATCACGGAGAGGAGCTCATGTCGCACTCGCTCGCTGTCAAAGATGTGGAACACATCCAAGCTAACCACCTGGTTAAAGTCAAGCAGGGAAGGCAGAGTTGCAGGTCTCGGAGTTTTGCACCGATCACAAGTCTGGCAGCGGAGAGATTTTGAAGCCTTGAGCACATTTTGGTCGGCGCCTGCGTATCGGAGGTGCCGTGTCAAGTCTCGGTTCTCCGGGTGGCCCAAATTTTGGTGCATGCGGGCTAGAGCTGCAGCTATGTGTTGTGGAACTCCGGGATCAAAGCTTATGGCACTTGCACCTCGAGGGCCAGGGGCTTCTCGTTGCCCTTCTGGAGCAACCACATCTTGCACAAACGCTTCTTGGTCGACTGCACAAGACTTGCTGCTACCAGGAGGTCTGAAAGTAACCTCTTGCCCATTCTCATTGGTGCTGAACTTCAAGTTGTACCCGGAAAACTCACTTTGGATATCTGCTATATCCCAGCTTGCCCCTTCTAGGTCACCCGCGAGAACCGCAACACCCCCTTGCTCGAGCTGCTTGTGAATGACTTTCCCAGCCTTGACTGCGAAGTCAGAGTAGTCGGCTGCCGTGTGGATCCAAAGAACCTGGGGAGCCAAGGAGGAGGTAAGGTTGGAAACAAACTCTTCACCTCCTTCACCAAAGAACATGGCATGCTCAATCGGCTCTACGACATCGCGACCCCAGTCAGCAACCCTGCTCGTCATGTCGAAACCACCGACTTCAAGGATTGCAGGGCCATCGCAAACATTCTTGCCAAACAGCTCCCCAAAGTATGAAGACGCGACAGCCATAGACATAGTCAACATGACACTGGCTTGCATAGCTTGCTTCCACAAACGCTTGCGAACACTTTTCTTGGGTCTCATGACTGCTTCACGGTCAGCAACGGAAAGAGGGACTTCACCACGAACTTCAACATGCCCAACAGGAAAACCAAAAGACCTAAGGGAGTCCCTCTCATTCAAGCTCAACTGATCACGTCCTCGAGGCGTGTAGGCGGTGATCACGAAGCGATCTCCGGTCCAGTCCTCAACCAGATGTCGTAGATGACCTGGAAAAGTAGTTGGGGTTTGGAAGGTGTCGTACCAGCCACCATCTACGGAGTCGCCGTTGGGGAGCTCAAGGGAGTAGGGGACCTTGTGGGCTTCATTTTTTCCTTGTAGAACATGGCGAGAGCTATCCTCTATCCACAGTCTACCGCCTTGGAAGTCGCCAAGGGTCAAGGAGAAGTTGCAACGGTCTCGGGCGTTGTGTGCATCTCGGTGCAGGGAGCTCCGACCATTCCATCCCATCGACAAAGCAGTCCAACTCCCTTGAACACCCGCATTCACGTACCTTATAGTTTCGGGGTACTTATAGGTGATGCCAACCACACCATAGAAGCCGCCATGGGCATAGGCACCGGCAGTGACTCTGGCATCCTCTTTCCAGTGAGCTTCGCGGCAACGCTTCCCAGCTCCGTGGGGGCAAAACTGTCGCAAAAGCTCTTCGCAGCTTTGCCAAGAAAAATCCTTTGCTTTTCGAAGCTCCCTGGCCCGAGCTTCGATCTGAGCCTCTGCCAGCATCTCCTCTCCGCCCTCAAAGCAGTCAAAGAAGATCTCGTCCTCCTTCACTTGTTCTCCGGCTCCGGCCCCTTCTTGATGTTGTAGCGATCCATGAGTCCCGCCAGCCGGGCCTGCAGCGCCTGGACTTCCTGAACCACACTCTCCGGCGCGTCCTGCTCCATCTTCTCCACCTCGGCGTGCTCGGTCTCCTGGGGACGTCGCGATCCGGTACTCTTCGGTGAAGCCTTCCTGCTCCTTGTTCCCGTGGATCTCGGAGGTGTCACTGGCATCTGCTCCGCCATGAGCCAGGACGAGGGAGTTCCGGAAGAGCTCGCCCACGAAGGCATATAGGGGATCTTCGCCCCCACTTCGGGGTCGTTGGTCGTGTACCGCTTCTGCTTCTCCCGAGTCTCCGCCCACTTGGCGAGGCGACGGAGGTCGTCCGAGGAGTTGTCGTTGGCTTGGGTCTCTCGAATCGCCCAGGACAGATAATCTTCTGGGAGCCGCGGCACATGGAATTTTTGTACCGGCCAGAACTCACGATCTCCTCGCTGGGGGCTCGGGTCCCATCTCGAATGAGTTTTTGGAGATGTCCTTTCGAAGCTTTGGCTGGATACTGGATGCACAACTCTGAGGCCTTCTGCTGCAACTCTGCCAAAGTCATCGACGCCAGGCCTTTCGGCACCTTGGATGTGCCCTTGGCCTCCTTGTACTCCTGGATTATCGCCCGGATTTCTTCGCGAGTCCAACTCTCGTGGTAGGTGATGTCGAGGGCGTCCGCATAGGTCATCAACTCCTTCTTCGTCATGTGCCATACGTTCGGACCCTTGGAGGTCATCGGACAGCAGCTGAGACAAAGGAGAGGGGATAGGGGCTTTACGCGGAAAGACACTTCTCCCGATCCATAAAGCATCGACGGGGTCAAGGTTGGCGCCGGGATCTCTCCAAACATCGTGCACAGAAGGTACGGCTTTGTGATTGCTGCATAAAATGGCCCATGTGCTACGTACTGCCCTCATTCCAGGGGGTCCTCCAAAGGCTAGGGTCAAAAACTCCTCTGCGGGGGATCACATGAATGCGGAAAAAGGCCTCGGGGGTCTCAATCCAGAAGTCATTGCTGATTCCAGTCTTGGCCCACCACTTGCAAAACAAAGAGCTACAGAGCCTCTCCTGAGTAAGAACATTGCTAACCACCTCACCGACCTTCTTGGGGAAGAACATTGTCTTGGGCTTCTCTACAGAGCTACCGAACACCTTTGAGGATGCCTTCGCTGTCTGCTGGCGTTCCGGAACTTCAATGCCATCCCCATGCTTGCAACTACCGCTCACAAAGGTCATGAAGGCCGTGTATTGCGCCTGCGCTTGAGTGATGATCAAGAGCTCAGGGTCTTCCCACCTTTTTGGAGCCAAAGGTCTAAAACCTGGCGGAAAGCTTGGCTGTACAGGCAAAGCAGGATGACCTGTCTGAGTGAACCGGAGCTTGTAGTCCTGGATGCTCAGCTTTTCGAAGGAGGCCCTGTGTCCGGCGATGTCGTAGATCATGCCGAGATTGGCCAACACCTTGCGACTGAGCAACAAAGGAACCTCCCCGTTCACGATTGAGGCCCTGACAGCTATGTGCTTTCCGGCAATGTCCAAGTAGATTGTGGCCCCATATGTCGCCTTGAAGACCCGGCTTGCTCCAAACCTGAACTCTTCCTCGCAAGGCTCCAGTTGGGGATCCAAACCAGCTTGCCGGGCTGCGACAAGGTATGCCTCCAGCCAGGGCTGTCCGGCAACAGTCTTACTGCAGGCGCAGTCGGTGATAGCCAGGAGTCCTTCACTTACATTAGCATCGCCGAGCTCGTAGGCAACATGAACCACATAGGCTTCACGGGCTCCTCGTCCATCAGCAATTCGTCCAGGAGAACCACTAGGGTTGCCGAGGTCCTTAGGGCCACCTTTGCTCGCGTTGTTCTCGTGGGCGCTCTTCTGACCTTGATTAAGCGGACACTCGGGGTCACGATGCCAATGCCCTCGACGCTTACATCCTGCACAAAAGCTCCGAGACTTAGCCAAAGCGAGCCGTTCTGCAGAGGTTCCAGGGAGCCCTTTATCGGTCTCGAAGGTCTTGCCACGAGAGGCGTCCTTAATCTTGGCCCGCGCATTTTCATGAGCGACATAAGCCTCGTGCAACTCTGCAGCAAGCTCTTCAGGAATGCCGTCCTCTTCGAAGTCGAAGCCGTCCTCGTCGATGTCTTCTAGGTCGGTGTGGAAAACTCCCTTGGCACGTCCGCGAGTGTCTCCAGAGAAGTTGGGCTTACGGAATCCCCAGGGTGCCCGGAGACTCTTTTCATGCAATGTGGCAGCCCTCTGGAGTCTAGCGGTGTTGTGCTCGTTGTTCACGCTGGCTAACAAAGAAAGCTCCTCACTACTCGAAAGGCTCAGTGCGTTCAAGTAGGCCCAGGCTTTGGCAACTTCGGGCAGACGGCATTCGATCTCGAGAAGTCGAGTGTGGGCCCGATCAAAGGCAGAGTTGAACTCACGGACGGTCTGTCCAGGCTGCCTCTTCAGCCGCTTGAAAAACTGCGTCAAGGCTTCAGCAATCTTGCTGACTTCTATTTCCTGATAGCGCTCTTGCACTCATCGTTTGAAGATTGTCATGCCCTGAGTCGACGCCAAAGTCTCCACGTCCAGCTCTTCGGCCTCGATCCACGCCCTTCCTTGGAGGTGTTGGTGCAGCACCAATGCCCGCTGCTCCTCCGGGAGCCTCGTGACCTTGGTCCAAGCATCCACCTGACGAAGGTAGGAACGGGCACTCGCTCCGAGCTCATCGCCGGAAGACTGCTTCAACTGGTGCTGCTTCTGCGCCGGACATGGCGCAAAGGAACCCCTGACCGCTAACCAACCACAAGAGACAAGCACAGAACAAACAGACGCTGAACACGGGTATCAAGAACAACTGCCCCAGACCGCGGCTGAGGCTCCGCTACCAATGTAAAACCACGACAGCAGTACAGCACAAGAACCACACAGCGCGAGACCACCAACAAAACAAGAACCCGCCTAACCCGAAACCCTGAGGCAGGGGCCTGTGCCCACGTCCTTTTCTGAAGCTTGAGAACTCGTGCGCCTGCGGTAGGCGTTCGTAGCACGTATGGCGCCTACCCAGTAACAGTTGAATAATATTGATATTGCAAGTACAGATAGCCCTTACTTTTACCCTTAGTACATGCCATTAGCGGCTGGCGACTGCTTTACGGTCCGCCTGGCAGGTACATGAGCTACTTTCAATATCGGGGCTACCAAAGGACCATTAGCGCGGACATAGGGACCTCTTTACTAGTGTAGTATAGTCCCTGATAAATTCCCTAATGAGGAATCCATGTCCATTAGTTATTTGGGAAATATGGAATGTAGCTCACATAGTAGTCTCCACTTTTTGTTCCTCTCTCCTATATACTTCAGCAATGGGTATATCGTAAATAATGAGTAAGGTTAGCATTCTTAATTTTAGTTCCCGAACTGTAACAGCTACCCAGCATATATCCCTGTATAGCAGTTGTCTACTGTTAAACTGCACGAAGGCCCTGTTGGCCTGTTAACGCGGATATTCCCAGACGCGAAATCCGAGAAAATGGGTTGGGTTGGTGGGTAAGGGCCTAGGGCCTAGGGTGCCTAAACCCTACAGTACCCTAAGGGTCCAAGTACCGAATAATGACACACTTTCCCGAAACCTGTACTAAAATTATCATTACCCAAAACCCAAGTACCTAGTTATTGGGTGCTTGGACCCTCGGGGATAAGTAGAAGAATGACCTGTTTGACATGGATTGACGGGCTTTGGGCCATTGTTTCGCCTTCTTTCGAGGTCCACGCAGGCTATAGTTGTTTCAGGTTCTAGGGTTGTAGGTAACGTAGGTGTAAATAGGGACTGAAGAACACTCTTTCCAACACATGGGTAAGTACTGGGGGGCGCAATTCTGTATGAAAAGCTATCTGCCCTAAGCTTTTATACCCACCACAAGGTAGCTTTTTTGACCGGGATATGCCTTTGAATGTCGGTTTTGAACTGGGTATTGCTGTGCTGTGAAAGAAAGCTTGCAGCACCATCTTACCGTTTTGCTACAAGACACCAGAACCCTAAGCGTCCAAGGACCCAGAAAGGAGGGTTTTAGGTCCCAAACACGATTAATAAAATAGTATCTGGGCCCTAAAGCTCTATTACGTGGGTCCTTGGACCCTTAGGGGAAGCTGTCGTGTTCATCAAATTCTTGCTCATTGGCATCAACGGTTGCAGGTTTTAGGCAAAGTCAATGATTTCATGCTGAGAAGGTGTAGTAGACGTTTTGTACTATATAAGTGAAGAGCGAGTTCCATGTGAGTAGTATTTTGGGGTTCTATGGTACCCCAAAACAGAGCAAGAATATACCCTCCTTTTGGGGTATAGTATTTTATATAAGGAACATAATCTTACTGGGTTTAACCACCCAAAAAGCGCGACTCATGTCAACCTTCGCGCACCACTGAGGTCCTTGATTGAGCTTGCACACTGCTGCATGCGAGACCTGCCCAGCTCCATTCGAAGGGACTTAGCCGAGTTGAGGTCGCAAATGCCACCTCCCCTGGTCCTGCCTGGGAAAAGGGGTATGTCCGTCCTGCTGTGAAACCCAAAGGGTCCATGTAGGTATATGGGATATACTTGGGCCTTAAAGTAAGTATGTGGGCACCTCTTTGGGCCCCAAGTATATACCATGTACCTACATGGACCCTTTGGGAAATGTTTGCAGTTGTGTTTAACAAACTTGTTGCCGCATGTAGGGCAGATCCTTTTGGTGGCACCATTCTTGTGCGGTTGTTCCCGTCACGTGAGCCCTAAAACTGATGGAAGGTCACGGCAAGCATGGACAGACCTTGCTGTTTCAAGACAGACAGTCTGTGAGGAGGCACTTCAGTCCAACAGGTCTGTGTGCCATCAGGCTGGCACGACACTTACTGGTCTCCTCAACCGCCCACCTATACTACCCCCCCGAAGCATAGACAGGTTTGTTTCAGGGAGAACCTTTTGGGAGGGGGGAGGATAGAGGAGGTTAATTAGGAGATCTGTAAGGCGAGATCACAAGTTACAGTGCTGCGTGGCTTGGTTTCAACTACATTAGAGGGCTTGCCCCCACAGCTTACCTCACAAAGTATGTAATCAGAATACTTTTGTGTTTTCGAATATTTGTTGGGGTATCGGTCATGGTTTTGCTTACTGTTGGGTACCAGGTAGTGTCACTCTTCAGCAGGTAGAACACACAAAGCAACATGGAATTAGTGTGTGTGTGTGTGCGCTAGAGGTAGGATTAGCCTGCTCAATGTCCTGGGCCGCACCCCGCCTTCGCTTGCCCACGGGCGCGATCCAGACGCTCCGGATCAGAGACCACCACGTGGTTTTGATCAGTAGCCATATATGCCACATAAATGCCCTGAACCTTTGAGCATTCTTCGTGCGGTACACTCTGTGGGGTAGCCAGCCACGTCAGTTTGCAGCTTTCAGGAGCAGCAGCGCTAAAAGTACGGAGTGCTGCATTAGAATCGCAATACAGAGCAGAGACAACTACATGGCTGGCTACCCTCTCTGAGCATGCCGCGTCTTTTCAACGGTGCATGCTCTTTGAAAACAGTGGCAAGCGCCTCGTCCAGAAGAGAAACGTCACAGCTGCATCGGGCTTTTGTAACAAAGACGGTGCAGCTTTGTTTCTTTTGAGCCCATGGTTTGCACTACAAAGCTGAGTAATGTAAGGGTTTAGGGTTTAGGGGTTTAGGGTTTAGGGTTTTATTTGGGGATACTATGGTACCCAATATAGGGTTTAGGGCCTTATAATGGAAAATCAAATGGAAAAGAAAATGGAAAATGAAATGGAAACTGGGATTATAGGTGTTATTTGGGTAGTACTTTATTTGGGGGTATTATGGTACCCGTTATAGAGTAAGATTCTATCCTCCTTTTGGGGTATAGTATTTTATAGAAGGAATATTATCTTACTAGGCTCAACCAAAAAAACACTACTCAGCTGGGGCATGGTTGAAATTCACTTTCGCTTTACGGAGACCCCATGAGGAATGCAAAGTTATAGAGGGTAAATGCAGCAATACCTGTAACCCCAATCACCGACCGTATGAGTACATGCACAGCTGAAGTCTGGTCCCCAGAAGCTCTGTAGGCTCGCAAGTTTAGGGTTTGTCTGCCATACTATTTAATTACCTACAGTTGCGCTAATTTTTCCTGTCAATCAGGGGGTACTTGACACTGCAGCTAATAGGGCTTTCAATTTTGGTTTGGAGCGTGAACGCAGCCCAGACTGTTTTGAGGGTCTAGGTAGGCTCTCAAGCCTAAACGTTAAACGCTGAACAGCTCAACCTTTAAAAACGAAACCGTGGGCTTCGGCTTTCTGGAGCTCGGTGGCGTTGAACCTTCTGATGTTACATGTGACAGGGCGTTCAAAGCACCACCCTATCAGCCGCCTGGTGTCAAGTGGCCATACGGCCGCATGAGGGTTTAGGCGTTAAGGGCGTCTGAGCAAATCTAGCATGGAAAATAGTTCCTAAACTTGAAACCGCCATAATGTACTGATGACTGCACAGATGGTGGTTTTTGAAAACAAGGGGATCCGTTTTCCGGGTCCCATTCTGAGGCTTTTTGGGGGGTCCCCATAATGTTGATACTGCATTAGTAAATCTCCCCCCCCTTGATTGATCTATCTCCATCCCATGAGACCCGCGGAATAATAATGCCCGACATGTAGGATGGAAAGCCTATTCAGAAGTGTAGAATCTAATTAAAATCATTGCCCCAACAAAAAGTACGTTTTTGGGAGATTGCAAAATTGTGGAGGGAATTAGAATTGTGTTCCGGCGCTGGGATTTTATAATTGTGGGGGAATTCTTAATGTGAAGTCAGCATTAGGAAGGAGAGGGTTTATTAATCAGGGGTCACATTAATGATTCAATTTCTTAGGGGCAGGGATTCCATCCTCAAATCCGTGTACCCGACACTCGACAGCATGCCAAGAGCTCCTCATTCTTTGAGGCATTCGGATTGCTCCGAAACCCTAAAGCCCTAACCCTACATGAGCTATAGTCTAAACTCTGTCAGGGGGGCTATGTAGGGGATTATGTAGGGCAATAGTATAGGGGCTACTTACCCATACCACACAATGAAGTTCACAAGCTTCTGGGCAGGAATTTCAACACTATCATCATTCTGCATACTTCGTGGGTGCAGGTAAACCATTTTTAACGCACATCCGGGCGATTGGGAACCCTCGCACTCTTTTTTGGAGGCTCGGCATAGCTACGGTAAATACTAAAAATCCTGCATGGCGTATATGTTGGGAATTCGCATGCTAGAGTACACTAAGGTCATGCAGGATTTTCCTAAGATCCCTAGATATCCCCGCAGATTTCCATGTCACCCCTATAAGCCTATAAGTCCCTTCATACTAATGTATCAGCAGTACCATGCATGGGTCCACGGTCCGGGGTAAGCTTACAGTGTGAGCCACTCGCCAGGAGGCAGTCCTGCAGGACGTGGGAGATTCTCAAATCCCGAAATACCTGTAACGCGGTTTAGGGTTTAGGGTTTAAGGTTTAGGCTACCTACTGCTATATGGATTATGCCCATGAATCTACAGTGTGATTTCTACTAAACTGAAATGAATAAGGGCTTACAGGTAATTTTTGATGGGGACTCCATAATTTGTCTTACAACTGGAGGTTTCGGGTCCTAAGGAGTTCGCCTGCTTTGAGACATT